ACCCTGAGATTTGGCACGATTGAACACTAAGGGACCAAGGTATGGCAGCACCACCTCCGGCAATGCCACCTGAGGCCGTACCCGCTGACCAACAAGAGGACTTGGACAAGCGGACGAAGGGGCTCTCGGTCCTGTTAGTCTCCAAGCAGATCCCATGGCGTGTCCAGGGTGAGATGGCACGGCAAGGTTACATCACGGTGGAGGACCTACATGGCACAAAAAGCCCGAACGCATGGCCCCGGAGACCTCGACTTCACGGATGGCAACCATGGCTTCACGGCCCAGCTCTCTGCATGCATTGCCATGAGGCTCCTTCAGGCCGTAGGAGCCGCCAGGCAGATCCCGGCACTGCCAGGCTGCCAGGAGGGGGCAACACCCAGGGCACTCTGAACAGGAGCACGCCCCGAGGAGCACCACCCTCACTGGACAGACGCACCCTGGAAGAAACCTACATGACACCGCCTGGTATTCCAGGGCAGTGACGCCCTGCTGAAACGACAACACCGCGTGGTCGCGAGAGGGGAAGTCGGCTTCATCCAAGTCAAGCACCTGGTGAGCGCTCTCCCGGAAGAGGGTGAACGGCCCACAAAGGCCTCGAAGAGGCTCACCTTGGGTGGATGGGAAGGCCAAGAAGAAGAGGAAATCAAAGCAAACCCAACCACCAGAAGACAACTGGAGAGGATGCACATGGTCTTTCGAACCACCCTGTTGGTGAGCACGGCACCAGTCCCCCAATTCTCCAACCTCAGCATCACCAAGGAGGAACTGGACTCATGGTATGAGTGGTTCTATGGAGAGGACATCGCAGGCCGCTCCCCCCACCCTCAGAAGCCATACGGCTCTATGCGGAGAGAAATGCATGGAGAAAGATCCTGACATGGTTCACGGGGGATGGACCTGAGTGAAGCCCTGCGATCAAGTTGGATCTCCTTTTCTGGACTCGTGAAGTCTATGAGAGAGTCAACAAGCAGACGGTCAAGAACTTGCAGACCAAAGGCAAAGGGAAGGCCAAGGCGGCCTCCAGACCCCTGACCACACCATGGCAACCACAGCAAGGGGACAAGCAAAGGTACGACATTGGGCAAGGGCAAGACGTCCAAAGGGAAGCAGAAGCCCGCAGGAAAGCCAGACTGGCCATCCCACTGGGCGTTCAAGAACCCCAAGAACGTGGCGTACGGCAAGGATTTTAATTCACCTCTACAAGACCTGCACCGGCCAGTGTGGCAGATCCCACAATTGCCCAGTCCGGGTTGACGGATGGATTTGCGATGCACCCCCTGGCACTCACTCCTTTGAAGAGTGCTCACACTGCCCCAAATGACGTGAGGCCGAAACAGGTGCCGCAGGCGCTGAGCAGCCTCCCAGGTCACGCGGGGAGACACGCACTCCCTTCACCGGGGACGAGCCCCACCGACCATGAGAGCTGAGAGACCCCAAGCAGGCCCTAGCACAGACTGGTATCACCCCCAGTTTCACTTGGATGGATCACATCCCGCAACGGCTCCAAGTGAGATTGCTAACCAATGGTTCTGCTCCTTTATGCCGGCAGGGACGATGCTGGATCCCTGGACGCATGTCTCCAATATCCCCATTTGCCAAGGCAATTGACACACGGAGAGATTCCGGAAATATGGGGAGGACATGTTGGCAGCAGAGCCATACAACACACTGTGCACCATGGCCGCACACGGGCTGGTCTCCATATGTGGTGGTCCCAACTGTCCTACCTGGAGCATTCTCTGATGGTTCCCTAAACCGGGTGGTTCCAAACCTGTGAGGGGACGCGCAGAAGCCCAGGTCTGGGGCTTGCCGGGGCTCACAGACACAGACCAATGTGATGTCGACAATGACAGCCCCCTGCTGCTGCGGCAGATGTATCTCACATCCCTGGCCTACAAAGGCATGGCAGGCGGCACAGTACCACAACCACCAGGGTCCTTCCTGGAACACCCTTCGGACCCCAAGGAGAACAGCAACAGCCCTAGTGCCCACAAATGCTCCACGGTCTGGGACACCTTGGTCTATCGACACTGGGCCAAAGCGTGAAACACCGGAAGATCACGTTTGACCAATGCCAACTAGGGCAGTTGGTCAAGTCCACGACTTTGTCCACGGACTTGGATCTTCATCACTGGGCGGACATGAGGTGTCAACACCCGGAACACCCCCGACTGGCTGACATCATCAGCAGTGACCTCAGTCGATGCCCTTGGAAGATGATGCAAGGGTTGGCACAAGCCATAGCAACACGTGCCAAGGACACCCTGATCACTGCCACACTGGGGGTTAGCCCCCTGGGGAGCACGTACCCAGTGCCCAAGATACCCAGCACACAGACTCCAACGGGGAGCGCTACCAGAGAGCCTAGGGCTAACAAGCCATCACCAGGTACTCCCCACTACACCAAAGGACCAGGGTACCACAGAGCCGAGGGCGGTCACTGGCTCGGTTTTCCCACCCACACATTGGGGACACGAGACACAGCCCCGAGAAGAGACCCAACGGCCCCCACCACACAGGCCATGGTGCCAACAACCCCCCCAAGGGGATGAAACGGGCACCATCCATCTCACCAACCAAATCCAGAGCAAGCAAGGGGCTCAAGGCCCTTTCTTTGCTAACATCTGGAACCCTAACAAAAGCAGACAACACCAACACCAGCACCCCACCAACAGCCCAACCTGAGGCGATCCTGGAGCCGACTCCTGCGATCTACTCACGGAGACTTCGGACCGAGGACGTTCACTTGATGGACGAGATCATGATGCTCCACCTGGCCTTCAAGTGCGAGATGGTGGGGGCAAGCCATCGCCAGGGCGATTACCTCCTCCACGCAGACCCATCTCCTGCTTGGGTAGGCGGGGCAAACAGATCATGACAGACCATCTGGTCCACCCAATGTGGCGAGAAGCAACACCCCTTCCCGGACAAGCTCCTGCAGGAGATCAGAGGAATCCGACTGGAACCAGCCAGCAGATGGCCAACCCTCTTTCTGGACCTCATCCGCGATTTGGCGACAGCAGCGGCAGACCCGGACAAGGACCTCCCAACCGACCTCGCCAAAGGGGTGCCACTTGGGTCACCACGCCTCCACTGCAATCACCAGGCATATGGCTTTTGAAGTCTGCACTCAAGGGCGTTGACTTTGTCCCCCAAGATCTGGAAGACCCTGTGGGCCGCGCCAACTACTCCTCGGTCAACGACTTTGTCTCCCAGGCGCGGGCAACCTTCATGGAAGAAGTGGACCTGGGAATGGTTGAGGGGGGCCGCTCACCAAACAACAAGCAGCCACGAGATGCCAATGCCAACCTGAAGATTTATGCCCGGATCATTGGCAGCCATTGCAGCCATTGACGAAGGCGACAAAGTACGCACCATCTACGATGGGTCGGTAGGAGGGGCCAACCACCACATCCAGAACCAGACCCATGAACGGACCACAGCTCCGACGGTCCTTGATTGCGTGCACGCCCTCCACTGGCTTCAGGAGGCGAGTCGTTCCCAACCTACTAGTGCCCCGCCATAGGAGAGTCAAGATCCTCCCTCAAGACTGGAGGTACCAGGTGGCAGAACTACAAGGTGAATCAACAAGGTGGGCACCTACGGCATGGCAAGCGCACAACTGTACTGGGGCAGGACTGCGGCCCTCATATTCAGGCTGCTTTACCTTCTCTTCCCCCAGGTGGATTGGGGCTTCGTCTTTGTGGATGACTTCTGTTGGATCCTCAGAATGGAAGAGGCCAATCATATGGCTACATCCCTTCTAGCGACCCTTGGGGCACTTGGCATACCACTGAGTTGGAAGAAAACACATCTGGCGGAGGTGAACACATGTCTTGGCTTTGTCATCCACCCCAACATCCCTCAAGTGCAGGTGACGGCAAACAAACACACCACGGTGACTGAGATGCTGGAGCTCCTTATACAAAACACGAACATGACGGCAAAGGCCATCGAGCGAGCATTGGGCAGACTCCAATGGGCTACAGCGGTTTGCCCTTTGACGAAGAGCCTCATGCAAAAGTTCTGGGCTTGGAAGATGGCAGTTACTGTAACGAGCTCTTCACCATTTCCATCCTCGGGACGTCCACCCAAGACGGTCCGCTTATTGGCCCTCTTGATGAAGGAGCTCTTCACCACTCCTTATGGGCAGCTCTCCCCCTACCTACCCAAGTCCCGCTGGTGGGGATGCAGTGAGGCCAGCGCTTCGGATTTGGGTGCGGCCTACATTGGCGGATGGCTGTCGGACTCTCAGACACCAGCGAGGAACTTATCCCTGGGCTTTCAAGGATGGAAATCCCAAAAAGAGAATAGCAGCTCTGAAACTGCTGGGCACTTTGGTGCTGGCACATTGCATTTTGAGAGTTCAAGGTAAGATTGCTTCTGCTGTGAGAATCCCTGTTGGCAGTGACAACCAGAGCAATGTATTTTCTTTCTGAATCCATGTACCTCGAGAACTCAATCAATGGGCGGATGATCTCACGCACCCGCTCATTGGTGGCTTTTCCACAGAGCTCTACCTCGAGGTGAGTGGCATTTTTGCACAGTTTAATATTGTATCCCGACTCACTTCAGGAGTGGATATCGATTTTTCTCATGTCCCCACCTAAAATCCCGTGACCGGATTTGGTGGGTTGTCCTGTTCCATTTTCACCATTTAAACCAGGCGTTGCCAGTCTTGCTTCGATTGGACTGGCGGAAATTTCGACCTGGCACACCTGGTTGATTGAATTTTGGTACTGTACAGATACAGTGTGATCAATCCCAGAATCCCAGATACAGGGAACCAGGACAAACTGGTACCAACCACTGCGCAAGTCAAAAAGAGCGAGGGTTGGTGCTCAGTTGACTCTTGTGTGAAGAGGACATTTTTTTCACACTTACATACATTCATCATTTTACCAGTGAAATCCCATCCTTGGTGAACATTCATCATCATTTTACCATGAAGTTCCTTCTCTTTTTGTGACAATTGCTATTCTTGATGTCATTCGAATCAGGAGTAATTATCCAGCCTCGAAGAGACATGGCGAGCTGTGGAGCCAAACTGTGCTTCTCAGTTTGAGCTCGGCTTCTGCCAATTTTCACCAGTGATTCTCACAGACCAGTTTGAGAAAACTTAATTAACTTAAGGGCTACTTGTTTGCCCTGTCAGCATTCGCTCAGGAATGCTTTAAATAATTCTATTCAGCAGTTGTCTCAAAGATGTGGGCGTGTCTGAACAATACCGGGTACCCTCACAATTTGGCCCATAGACATCAATGGATTGAGATGGATATAGAGGTACCTGATCGGACAAAGCCATCATTCGTCCTTAATACAGGTACAGTCATGGTCGCGCCGCCCGTCGGTGTGCCGCAAGTGCGCCGCCTGAGTGGACGCCCCAACAGTTCCCAAGCGTTGGCGTTCCACCTGTATTCCACGTGTACAGTGTTTCATTTGGGATTTGGTGTTTCGGCGAAGACACCCGCATTTGGTGTTCCGGATGCTGTTGGTGCAAACGCAGAAAAAACTGCTGAGCAGACCCTGTTGATGGCTTCACAAGAGTCCAACATGAATTGTCTCAAAATTTGAACCCCAAAAGCTCATAGTTTATCAGTAATAGATCAGATTTATCATGATTTTCCCGTCAAAAAGGGTCATATATTATATTGTGGTATCATTTGCATTTTTTGGTAAACCATGGCAAAACTATTTCCATCCTGGTGGCTCCAGGCAGCTCGTGTGCAGCTGCTGTTGGGCAACTGCGGGGACGAGCAAAGCAACGGAGTTCCCTCCCAACTGCTGGAAGCAACGCATCTGATTCTGACCATGCGAAGGAGAGTTTTTTAAAGTTTTTCATAGTTTTTCTCCATTCTGAAAAAACAAAATGTTAAAGTTTAGAATAAGAATTATAGATTGTTCATTGAGGGGTTGTAAATGGGTACCTCATGGTACATATCAAACTCGGAACAGCAACTCAGCCAAAACTTCGGTCATTCTAAATCATCTTGGAAATCGTCAGGGATTACACGGTTGGGTGCTTGGATATACCTGCCAGGCATCGTCAGTGGTCCCATGTATATGTCCATGTATCACTGTGCATTTCTGGTTGGATTTTGCAACCACATTCCGTTGACCCGTTGACCGCAACGATCTCAGGAGCACCAAAGCAGTGAACCAACTCTGCAAGGCGCTGCAGGCTTACGGGCCGTTGCCCAATGGTTCCAGTGCTCAGATATCAGCCTGTGTGGCGGGTGCCAAAGTCATGGATATTTCAACCAGCCCGTGGATATTTAAGGTGGATTTTTAACAAAGGGTTTTGGTTGTATTCAAAAATCATATCAAGTTGTAGCCCCAAATCATTTTTCAAACATGTGTTACGTACGTGTTGGGCCCCATGCCCAGTGGATCAATACCACTGGCAGCTGGGCCTTCACAAAAAGCTTGACACAGACGAGTCCTGGACCTGGCGACATGGACGCCGGGACATCACATCTTTGTCAAGCTGACATTTCTTTGGGGACCACTAGAAATTAGAGTTCTATGAATCCCATCCCCTGAAATTTATGAAACAACAAAACAAAATCCATGTTTTAGTAGGGAATTTGGAACACATAAAACAGGGACATAAAACAGGGGGTGTTTAATATTAGGATGGGATTAGGATGGGATTATGTGGTTGTTGAAGGCAAAGCAAATGCGCTCACCTGCTGGCTCAAGCCACCTGGATACTCGATGCACCAGCCGATGTCCAGATGAATCTACCGTTTTTCGTCCCAAAGTCAAAGGTAGAAACTTTGAAAACCTGACCTTTGAAATTCAAGGTAGAGAGATGTTTTTCACTTGCTGAACTGCTGTATATATATATATATGTATATATATATATAGTAAATGAATGTTTTATTTGATATATGCCTATTTATATATATATATATATATATCATTGACTTCAAGTCTTGGATGATTTCATGCAAATGACCAAATCTGTGGGTCCATTTGGACCCGAGTTGGTTGCCATACCCACCCCAGGTGTAGGCCTAGTCCACAGTCTTTCCACAAAGCTTTGCGATGGCAGAAGCGGAAGACGAAGATGAGGCTCCAGATGACAAGGGTGAAGATTTCTTGAAGATTTCTTGATAGTTTTGTCGACTCGAATCCACAGCTTCCTTTCCTTCCAAAAGCCAACCATTGTGAGCCGCTTTGATTCTTTTTTTGCTTTCTTTTCTAAGGAAAGCCTCATGTGACTGATTCCTCACTGAATGATTCTGGGATGTGGGAACCCGGAGATTGAGAGAGCCATAGCCTGTGTGTAGCCTTGGATCAACTCGGAAGCAAGTGACTGGCTGGTTTCCACTCCCGAACTCAGCAGAATGACAGCTCCCTGCACGGCAGTATATTTGGGTGACCGTGCTATTTGGTACAGTTGTTCGTAGCAAGGATTATACAGTTCCATTTACTGCCGGCTTATGAATTGGAGAAGAACCGTTATTCGACTATCAAGCATTGTTGCTGGTGATA